AGAGAGACACCGAAATTCAGCAACGCAGCACATGTATTATCAGGGTCTATGCAGGAATCCTGAAGTCAGATGTAATTCCTTTTAAGACCTTTTTAAGACCCTTTCCGTACATTTTAAGACCTCATCTCCATTTGGAGTTCTAACCGGTTACCTTGGCGACACACTTTACTTCACATTGACTATATTCAGTATTGATTGTCCTTCCTCTTTATCTTCCAACCATTTGGACGCAGACTTGCATTTCCCCATAACGATGTAACAACCGGCGTAAACGGACCTTCGCGCTATCAGACATTATTAGACACACAAAGACACGTAAAAAAAAAGCTGGATAATATAATATTCTGTAATGATATAATACTGGCAATATGTATGCTGAAAACATTTACGTTTGATACTTGAGGTACATTTTGCTCATAATACTTCTGCACTTCTACTTAAGTAACATTTCCAAGACTTTTACTCGAGTATTTTAGGACCATATTATCTGTACTTATACTGAAGTAAATCATCCGAATACTTCTTCCATCACTGCTGCTGCTATGTTTGCTGTAATACATTGTTGTTTTCTAAATACTCCTGGTACCCACTGAGAATAATGGTGTTATAATCTAGTTTTATATAGTTACATTTGTGAGTTGAACATGAAGAGATTGGTGCAGTCTCAGATGTGTACATGCACAATTTCACTTGAGTACGGAAGTATAAATCTAGAAGTAACAACAGCTGTCAGATACCAGTAGTGCAGTCGAGACTCCACAATAAGTAGCTGAAAAATATAGATTTAAATAATAAAAGTCCCTCAGAATGGCACTGAAGTACTCTACTCTTCATCACTGTTTTCTTAGTAAACGCTACATACAGTATACACACAGGTTATTATCAAAGCAGCACAATATAATCACATTTTGTTTTGTGTCAAATTGTCCCACAAAATAACCATTTCTACACGACTCATTTCCCTGTATTTCAGTCCTATTTGGATCCAACAATGTCTTCCACCCATGAAAGGAAATGTGTCGTGCAGTCTCCATAACCAAGGACAGAAGCCTTAGACCCACAAACTAATATCAAATATAAATGAAGGCAGAGTTCTTAATAGCTGCTTTACCTCCGGCCTCCCAACTTACTCAAAGATACAGCGGCTGTTGTGTAGAAATGGGTGTCATGATCCTGAGAAACACTCGAGTCGAAAGCCAACTCCTGCTTTCAAGGATCCAATATCTTAAAATGTCCACATGTTCGCTCACAGAGGACACCAGACCAGAGACATAAAACTGAAGCTGTCTTCTGCACTGTGAGAAACACACGACACCCTCAGCCAATTGAAAACTGATTTCAGTTTGAAATCTGTCCGCACTCGTTTTGTAGAAAGAGACAGTGGTGTTTACTGAGATGAATAAAAGAGCTCATAATTACAACCAACATTAGTGTGTTTTCCACAACATACAGTAGATCCGTTTTAATACCTATTCCTCTAACTGTCTATAATATTACAGGATACACGTCTCACAGGAAAACAATCATTATCTGTGCAGGAGGCTTGATGCAGCTTGCAGGGCTCTAGGTGTTCTGGTGTCACAAAATGAAACATTGAATCAGTGACATTAAGGCTGATAGAGATTCATCATTACACTTTGTCACAAACACAATGCAGCGCAGACTGACAGCCATCTCTCAACTGAAGCAAAGATGATGAATAAGATGCAGATTTCCTGAAACCTCAAAATATCATGCTGTCCTCTGCATCTGTTCTTTCCCTGTGATTCCTCCTTAATGTTCACATACCTGCAGGTCTATCTTCAGCCATTTGTCATGAAATCTCAGCTGAGCATCGAGGGTGAAAGATGGAGAAGGCATCTTGCCCTCTCCTCTCCTGGCTGCCAGCGCAGCCAACCTGCAGGACGAAGAGAAGAGAGGCTTGTTGGAAACTGAGACACACGTACAACGTTACAGTGAGAGGAGAATCAGATGATATACACTGACATTATTTAGTGAATGAATGCCTTGATAATAAAGTGAGGTTGGGTCAAATTAGCATGTTCCTACCCTGGCATATTTATAGCTTCCTTTGAAATGAATAAAACCTATTTGTGCCTGAAACAGCAGTGTTCTGAGAAGGAGTTTTTCTTATCATACTAAATGTAGTCTTTGTGCAGAGGCTTGTACGACGAAGCCGGATTTTCGCTTAGCGGCTAACTTCAGGGAAAACTCGGGGTTTCCGGTCCTACGACGCTGGTTCTCTTTTTAGCGGGCTAGATCTCCATGGTAACTTGTGCTGAGCGGCTAACCTGCTCCGGAGCAGGTTAGGTTGCAGGCTAAGAGATCAACTCAGTGAAAGCACCGCCTGCTGACCAATCAGAGCTCCGTGTGCGGAGTTTAAAGCGATCAAGTCATATTACAGGATAGAGGAAATACAGTTTAAACTGGCAAAAATCACAGACTGTGTGAACGTGAACATGAATAGAATATCATCTCCCATCTTCAGAGCAATCTGACTATTTCTATGTGATGTTAAAAGTTGTACCGTTAGATATTTTCACAAAGAATGTCAGTACTAGATTTTAGGACTTAAAACCAATCCAAACAAACTTTATTTAATTGTCACTTATCCTGCTTAATCTAATCTACTTAGTCTTTGGGCACACATTTGAAAAAACTGAAACTAAAACTGACACAAAGATTATCTCAAACAAATGAATTTTAAACAGTCTGTGAAAATGCAGCATGACCCATAATATTATAACCCACATGTAAACAGATAGAAAAACACATGACTGAATCACTGACTCCCATTTAAATGCCAAGTCTAAAATAAACCTTGCTTTTAATACAGAAACTACGTCTGAATATAGCTGAGTTTTGTATGAATGTATCTGTTGAACACAAATACTCATCAGGATCAACCTCTTCAATAGTGACGTCAATAAAGAATCACATTGGCTTCATTTACATACTTCACTCTTATAGTTAAAGGTCAGATATGTTTTTGTTCGTAAATGTTTATTTAGTCTATATATGTGGCTTAGCTTTTCTTTAGCTACATTATTATACATTTCATATCATTTGGGATGTTTGTTAAACTGCACTTGTGTGTGTATTTATTTGACCTACATTTTGACCTATTTATTTCCCATATTATTGGTAGCCTACAGAGTCTGCCGTCTTCTGTCTGTTAGCATTGATACTGTGAATATAACATGGTGTACTGTTAATAGGATATCAGACTCTGGTCCTGCAGGGAATAACACACACTGACACAGCATGTGTGTGCAATATACACTCATGTGCAATATACCCTTTATTTTCTCTCAATACTTTTTATCATGGTGTACTTATCCGCTAATATATACTTATTGTGTTTTTTTTATAATAAATAGCTTGTACATACGTTAATACATTTTGATATGCAAGTATTTTCTCTTCACTTTATCTACACTATACTTCTGCTGTTGTAATAACGTAGATTTCCCAAATAAAGGAATTCTGAATGAACAGGCTCATAATATCACATAATGCTAGTTGTATGTATCCAATGTATACAAAAACGAGACCATCATAGCTTAAATGCTAGCAAGGGCACAGTCTCTGTTAACCTTGATACTGTGAATGCAACATGGTGTTAATATAGGATAACAGACGCCAATCCTACAGGTAATAACACACACTGACACAGCATTTACTCATAATAACGCAGCACATAATGCTAGTTCACATTAGCTTATAGCTCAAGGCTAACCAGTTAGCTTGCAGCTAATACCGTTAAAACATCATCCAGGCTAAGGTGATGACGCTTCTAATATGACACTGAACCAAATGAGATCAACTCTAGCAACACAATGGGCAACATGTCAATATAAACAACACATTTGTAGATTACCTGCGGTGTCTTCTCAAGCTATTCTCGTCCCTTCAGCTGCTTTGCTGCATTAACAAGACGTTCATAATGGACATGATTGACAGGTCGCAGACTGGGCACGAGGCATGGAAACAAATGACGTAGGAGGTAAACGGGGAGCTATGGTGAAATGGATTTGCTCACCGCAACAGCCCGTTGAGAGGCGGGGTTTAATCTGCCGGGCACTGAGTGTACTCCTCCCTCTCGTACCGGTATTGGTTATAAATCGAGCGCATTTTGTTATTGGAGGCGGGACTTAGGAGGGGCGGGGTTGGCTTGAAGAGTGATGGAAAATGTCCGCTAGGTGGCGCTGTGTCTTATTTAGCCACAAAGTCACACGTTTAATATATTTTTAGATATTTATTCAGGCCACAGAGTAACATATAGCATATTGTTTTACATATCATTTTAGATGTGTATTTATTTAGAGTTTATATTTCAATAATATTTTCCTTAGCTACGGGGTTTCATATTTCATAGATTTCAATTTGTTTACTTAATTATAGAGTATTTATTTCCTATTTGTTTCAGTATGCTACAGTTATATATTATCCTATACGTTAAGATGTTTATTTAATTATAGTGTATTTATTTTTGCATTTGTTTTATTTAGCTGATGAGTGACTTATTTTATAGGACTCAATATTGTATTTTTTTCTACATTCTTTACCTCTGATTTTTATAAATACCAAGTATACCAATTTATTTAAATGTGTTGCCCTCTCTTATTTAAATAACCCTGAATACAGTTAGTAAGTTACATGTTTTGCTTTCTACATTGTCTGAGCACTTGTACTAACAACTGGGTCACAACATTTGAAAGCATGTAAATAAATAAATAATTTACATATTTTATTAATTTTTATATGACATTGAAATGCTTTTAGACCATTTTTTTTGTGTTAACATTTCAAAGTAGATTTTATTTATTCATTAATTTGTATTAATTTGTATTTATTTATTTATCTATCTTTGTATTCATCTATTTTTTATTTTTTTTTACATTTTAAAGTACAGTATGGGATGGTGCAGCCCAGAGCCGTATTATACGGCTCTGGTGCAGCCGGGTGCTTGAGCAACTGCACATGCGCAGAGCGTCACTTCCGGGTCCAAACTCCCAACCCGTGGAGAGCATGGATGTATTCCGGAATAAAGTAAATTAAAGTGAATGATGTCTCCAGACTCGGAGCAGAGCGATGTCTCTCTCCCTGTCTCTGGAATACTGATAGCAGTGGTGTCGAGTTTCATCAATGGCTCCACCTTTGTGCTGCAGAAGAAGGGGATATTACGCTCCAGAGACAGAGGTATAATAAAGCAGATAATTAGCTTTCTGTGTGGGAGACAACATGCATACATATCTAGCTTTCTGTATGAAAATAACACCATAAAGTCTGTTCATAAAACGTGTTTCTGTGTTTTCCTCAGGGGGGTCTTACCTCACAGATGTGGTGTGGTGGGGGGGCACTCTGGCCAGTGAGTATACTCTGTATACAGATATGTATCCTTCATAACCAGAGGTGGGAGAAGTACTCAGGTCTTGTACCAGAGTGTAGGAATACTCTGTTTCAAGTAAAAGTCCTGCATTCAAAATGCTACTCAAGTAAAAGTGAAAAAGTATCAGCATCAAAATATACTTCAAGTACAAAAAGTAAAAGTAGTCATTGTGCAGATTGGTCCATTTCAGAATAATAGATATGATATGTTTTATAATGATTGATTATTAAAGTGTTCTCAAAGCTGGTAAAGGTGCAGCTAGTTTGAATGACTTTGTATACTGCAAGGTAGCTTGTGGATTTACTCCAGGTGGAACTAAAGTTTGATTTAAGAGCTGATTATATTCATTCATGTGCAATGTCTTATCTATGCCGCTGTGACGTGAAAAAAATAAAGCATTATCTTATCTTATAAGCCCCACCTGTTGACACTAGAGGACAGTGGTGGAAAAAGTATTCAGATTCTTTACGACAAAGAGAATGGTACTTAAGTGAAAGTATTTAAGTACAAATAGGAAAGTGTACTTAAAGTATTAGGAGTAAATTAGGAGTAAATTACTATTTTCTGTTAACCCACTCATGGTTTTAGTCAATTAAATATAATTTTAGATGGTTTAATCTATACCAAATAATCATATTTTAAACAAATGTTGGGGTTCAAATTCAGAATGTATAAAGCAAATATATCTGTAAAACAAATATAGTGGAGTAAAAAGTTCAAAATGTAGTCAAGTACAAGTATAAAGTAGTATAAAATGAAAGCACTTGGATAAAATACAAGTACCTTAAATGTGTAATTAAGTATATTTCTTGAGTAAATGTACTTAGTTACTTTGCAGCTCTGTTAGAGGATATAGGGCAACCCGTGTGTCATGCTGTTGACACACCTGTGTATGTCTCATCAGTGATTGTTGGTCAGATTGGGAATTTCCTGGCGTATAACGTGGCCCCCGCTGTGATCGTCACACCTCTGGGAGCCCTGGGAGTGTTATTTGGGTAAGAGAGAGACTCTTTCTTATGTTCTGCTGGCACATTGACTGTGTTTGATCATAAATAAAGCTTATTTGACTTTGTTATGAAGATGTTGTGTGCTCCTGCAGGGCTGTGCTGGCCTCGTGGATCCTGAAGGAGGATCTAAACATTCTGGGGAAGCTGGGCTGTGTTTTATGCTGCTGTGGCTCCGTGGTGCTCATCATCCACGCGCCTAAAGCCGAGACTGTGACCTCCAGAGAGCAGCTGGAGGAGAGTCTGGCAGACCCAGGTGAGACACTCAAATCAATCCAATAGAAAATAAATATCAATGATGTTTTTACTTAACGTGTATTATGTAAGACAACAGAACAATGTAAAGTTAAAAATCAAGAAACCAAGATATTCAAGATTCAAGGCTTTATTGTCATTTTCACATTAGCTACAGTGTAGATGTGTCGATGAAAAACTTAGGTCACAGGCTCTTCCAACAATGCAACATATATATAATGTTTATGGATGTTCTATAAAGTGCAGGTGTTTAATAGACTTATGGCCTGTGGGATGAAACTGTCCCTGAGTCTGGTGGTTTTAGACCTGATACCAGAATTGTTTTATTTATAGGAAAACATCATTCAGAATATCCAGACAGTAGCCTATTCACAAACAATGAAACACATGAGCACATACTACAGTTTAAAAAAGCAGAAATAAAAATAGAGCTGACTGAGTACTTCTCCTACCTCTGTATAAATCTCTAAATAATCTCTCTTGCAGTGTTTGTGAGCTACGCCCTCCTGGTGGTGCTGCTGCTGCTCGTCCTCATCCTGTTTGTTGCTCCGGCTCACGGCTCCTCTAACATCATGGTGTACGTCTCCATATGCTCCCTGCTGGGCAGCTTCACCGTGCCCTGCAGCAAGGGCCTGGGCCTGGTGGCGGGGGAGGTGTTTGGGGCCGATGGGGGTCGCGCTCTGCCTCTCTTCCTCTTCCTGCTGTGCACGCTCGCCGTCAGCATCCTCCTGCAGTTCCTCTACATCAACAAGGCCCTGCAGAGCTTCAGCTCCAACGTGTTTGAAGCCGTGTACTATGTGGCGTTCACGTGCTCCGTGATCGTGGCGTCAGCTCTTCTGTTTAAGGAGTGGACGGCTCTGACGGCCACACACAGCCTGGCCCTGCTCTGCGCTCTCACCACGGTGTGTGTCGGAGTCGCTCTGCTGCGCATCTCACAGGAGGCCGAGGTCACCTGGAAGAAGAAGACGGACTGATGGAGATGATTTATGTTTACAGGCCGTTATGACACATTAGGTATTCCATCCATGCAGGTAGCATTCCTCATAACATACTTGATTGGTCAAAGCTCAGTTTAAATGAACAATTTATAACTACCTTCACTTAACATTTAACTTGAATCTCTTGCCGTTTCTTATGGAAAGTTATCAGTTACTGTGTAACCTATAATTAATTAAAGAGGCCCTATGCTTTTGGGGGTTTCCGTTTCCTGTAGTGTGTTTTTATAGGTTTTTGTGCATGTAAATGGTCTGCAAAGGCTAAAATACCAAACTTCCTCTCCAACCAATCAGAGCAAACTGGGCTTTGGTTTCAGACAGAGGGTGAAAAGAGGTGCTGCAGCACAGGCAGTGTGAATACTGATATCAACCTGAACTCGAGCATACTATGTCCTCTTTAAATAACACCTGGGTAACAGTAACAGTTAATTTGCCATGTTATATTTTGCCTATTTGCAAATAGGTACAAGAGGCTTAACGAACATATGCAACCTGTTAAATAGAAACTTAAAATAATTGAATACGCTCTTTGAAAGTTCCTCCAATGAAAGACTATATCACCGACACTTTTATTCAGTGAGCCTGTGAATTATTCAGTGTAACTTAAGAAGCAGCCTCTTTAGTCCAGGAGCTGTGAAGACGAGTTTGAACAATGACTGAATTATCTCTATGTCTGATAGACCAAATATAAACTTTATATTTTTTTTTTTAAATGTGGTAACTGTGATGTGATGTCAATTAATTGTTGACTAATTTGATTATGGACAATGTATTTAAAAAATATGTTTGCATTAATTTCTACTATTTGTCATAAAAGTTTAAAAAACACGCGTTTAAATGTAGTTGTACTTCAATTTTACTAATACAGATTACTATACATGTCCATCCATCCATCCATCTTCTCCTGCTTATCCGTGGCCGGGTCGCGGGGGTAGCAGTTCCAGCAGAGAGCCCCACACTTTCTTTTCCCTGGCCACATCAACCAGCTCTGACTGGGGGATCCCAAGGCGCTCCCAGGCCAGCGAAGAGATATAATCCCTCCACCTGGTCCTAGGTCTACCCCTTGGTCTCTTCCCAGCTGGACGTGCCTGGAACACCTCCCTAGGGAGGCGCCCACGTGGCATCCTAACTAGGTGCCCGAACCACCTCAACTGGCTCCTTTCGACGCGAAGGAGGAGCGGTTCAACTCCGAGTCCCTCCCGAATGACCGAAATACTATATGTATTACTATACATGTAGTTAAAAAATATATATGGGACTCGTACTTTCATTAAAGTATTAGTTTTAACTCCTCACCAGTTGTTCACAAATGATGTTGTCCATTATTTGTAATAATGTACACAATTTTCAATAAACAAGGATTTTGCTACAGATGGGGCTGTATTATTGTAAAGTGGAGAATAGAAGTAGTGGTAGTGATTTATGTTGATCCTTAACAATTATCCAAAAATGCACATTAACATATTTATAATTAATAAGGCAATAAACTAAAGGGATGTTCTGAATTGCACTTTAATAAAATCTAAATTAAGATGAATTAAACGGTGTAAAACATTAAGTACTGTTATATAAGATGTAAAGAGACAATTGAATGTTGTTTATTTACTTATCTTTACAGAGTAATTATTATACGTAATCATAACATCTAGATGCTTTGTGTTTTAAAACAGCTGCTTTGCACATTTGTTGTCTATTTTTGTATAGATAATATGAATCACCTAATGACAGCAATAAAGATTACTCATGGTAAATACTATGAGTGTTTGTGGGTCATTCCAGAATTGGAGGACAATTTAGACACCAACATTTTCGAAAAATTAACCTTTTATTTTTTTTATGTATTCAGGAAAAACAGATAATAAACCATCAAAAAAGTGATTTGCCCAGCAAAGGCATCAAATGTATATTTTCCAACGAAGAATTACCCCTGTTACTCTAATTATAGTAACAGGGTTGAAAGTAACAGGGTTGAAAATCAATGCTAATTTGAGTTTTAACCTCAGGAATTATTGCTAGATGTAGCATGTAATGCTACTTTCAAGGCAAGGACAAACTTGGATATCTAATGAAAGAAAGATAACTTTTAAATTAATATGCTTTATTCTGATAATATGAGTAACAGGGTTGAGTGGGTCAGAGTGCCACACTATTTTAAGACTGAAAAGATTGTAAAAATAAAAAGAGAGGACTTAGTTTTGGTCTACCCATGTCCTTTCCACTGTGTCATCTGATTTACAGTTTTTTCACTTCCTCTGCCAATCTAAAAAGGTTTGGGTAACAGGGTTGAACGCATGTTGAGGGACACACCTTCTGTGCAAAATTACTGTTATTTAAAATAGGCTATGTTTATGATTTAACAAATTGATTTTACCATTACAAGAGACATATATCAATAGAATAATACCAACAAAAGTAAATAAAATCCCTATTTTAAATGTTATATTTGACTTGCAAGTTGGTCACCAAGAAGCGTTATTTTTAAAAAAAATGCCATTTTAGGGGATGTTCGAGAGCTATTTGATAATTTAAATAATATTTTGAAACCACCTTTTCTACAACTTCATATACATTTGTCTCAAGACAAGTATGTTTATGTGCATGTTTTAGCTTTTTGGTCATGGATTATTAGATTTGTTATATGGGGACATTTCTTGGAATGACCCATGTATTATCAGTGTGCTTCTGAACTTCACCTCCGGAGGGCTCGTCAGTTCAGCGGGCCTCTGCTGCTCTGATAAGCAGAAGAAGAAGCTCTCAGTGCGGCAGTCGTTCAGCGGAATCTCCTGCTGATGAACCTTGAGATGTGGAGCATCAGAAGCCGGAAGTAGGCTAGCTGTCGGCTAATCTGCTAGCTATTCCACTTTGCTCTTGTTGTGGGGAAACCAGCAGGCAGCTACCTTTTGGACAGGTAATGTACTTCCATTATTTCCTATTTAACTTATTTAACCAAACAAATAACCAATAGCTGGGTTATTTGTATTTAACTTGACGCCAACTGACTTCGCTTGCCAGCCAATTAGTTTGCCGTCGAGCTAATACAAGCTACTGTGGCTATCGAGGGAAATACTCGTAATGCAATGCTTATATTTGGATGAAAATGTAATGCGTTGGTCCCACAATAATGGCCCTTTCAATGTGAATGGTGTTCTGACATTTGATGACAGTGTTTTTAAGGAAATAGGCTGTGTACTGCCGGTGTATCTAATTAACAGCCGAATAAGATCGCGGATGTTGCCTTTGTTAATTACGCCCAAATGCTACGGAACTAACCAGATCAGGTACTATCAGATACCAGGCTACTAAGCTAAGCTAATAGTATTTAATAAAATGTGCCTTTCGTTACCTATGACTTTTTTAATAGAGGCCTTATAACTGTGTTTTGGCACTTGCTTCGCACTTACGAACTGCAGTGCACTTCTTTTGAAATGTATGTATTTTAATTGTTGTTTTTTTACTTAATTGTTTTTATTATTTGTATTTTTATATTGTATATTATATATTCTTTTCACTTTGTTATTATTGTTATTTTTAAATTCTAAATAATCAATGCAGTATACTTCCCATTCTATTTAACATGTTATTTATATTCTATTATTTGTACTTTATGTATTATTTGTATCATTATCAATCAGGGTTATATTTTCCCTTTTAATGTTACACATTCTTTTATTTTTAAATGTATTTTATATTATCTATTCATACCTTTTTTAGCTTTCAAGGGTTATCATTTGTATCCTTTATTATTCATAGCCTTGTATCTATTTATCTAGCCTTTTGTATCTTATGATATGAAACCCCACTTTTAAGATCAGTGTTGCAAAGCACTGTCAAGCTGCATTTCCAAATATAGTTCCTCGTTGTATCTTAGCTTAGCACAGAGTGTGCTCAGGTTAACCTCAGCGGTGTCCCTCCCTGGATTCCTCTGTTGGAAAGGTGTTATTGACATAGCAGCTGACTAAGTTGCACGGGGCTTTTTTTGCACAACACCCTCTCAACCTGCTGGCATTCAATCATCGATTCTAGTATGGGATAAACTGACATTGAAACTAGTTGGTTGTAAAAGTTACTCTGATGGATTAATACCAAACATCAAATCATGGTGGATGACTTTTGTAATATCACCTGTGGAGACGGTAGGTCTTGGCTGTCAAAATGTCTCTTTTGGTCTTTTATACCCCACAACAGCTGTTTATAAATGTCATGTCTAACTTTGTGTCTGCTCTCAGGTGTGTGGGCTGGACGGGACTGTCATTTAGGCAAGCACCTGCACTGTTTGCTCGTAGATGTGACAGACCACACCAACACAACCAGCCTCACTATGGGTGAGGACCGGGGGAAGTATGATTTCTACATCGGCCTGGGGTTGGCCGTCAGCTCCAGCATCTTCATCGGAGGAAGTTTCATCTTGAAGAAGAAAGGACTTCTGCGGCTGGCCAGGAAAGGATCCATGCGAGCAGGTACTGACCTTTACTGAGGAACTGATGCACCTCACAAATAACCTAGAAACAAGGGACAAACCTTCCACCTGTCAGAGCATCGAAGGCACTCCCTGCTGCAGTTAAGCAACTGATGACTAGCTGAACAGGTAGAGGCACACCTGGAGAAAACACTTCACCTACATTTCAGGTTTTCTTAGTTTTTACTCTGAAAGGTGTGTTTTTGTGCACAAGTAAACTTTCACACAGAAGTTAAGCTGGAGGAAATATTAACAACTTCATATAAAAACTTTGTTTTAGGGTAAAGTCCATAAAAGATAGTCAGTCTTATAGAAGCTTCTGGTTCAAAGTACATTACCCTTTTCAGAAACTTTCCAAGAAAAGTTTGGGAGGATTTAAAAACAGTTATAATAAGAATATATATGTATATAGCACTTTTTAATGCAATGTTAGAAAGTCATTTTACAAAGTCAAAAAAATAATAAATGAAACACAGCAATATTAAAATAAAATAACATACATCATGCAAATATTTGTAACGTATGTTTTTAAGCTTCAATAATAAAATGAGCCCCTGACATTTGTATTAGTTGTAATATTAATACCTTATCGTTTTTAAAGTTGTCTTATTTAGGGAGGGGTCAATAGATTCACATGATATACAGGCCTATAGAAGTCTTTTATTTGAAAGGGAATTTGTTTTTGGGGATTCAATGAAAGTTCAATAACTCAAACGTATTTACTTTAATTTGAGCTCAACTAAATTGGCTTTTAAAATGTTCTATATGAATGTCAGCTGATGGTTGATCACCTGACCCTCTGCAGCTGCTGCATGTTGTGTATTTATTGACTGCATGTTTTGTTAACATGCAAATGTTACTCAAATGTTCTTAATATATGCTTTTGTTCTTCAGGCCAGGGGGGTCATGCATATCTGAAGGAGTGGCTGTGGTGGGCCGGTTTATTATCAAGTAAGTGAAAACACGCAGGAGGTCAAAACTGTGATCAGATAGGAGCCGGTTAGGCAATGAGATTCAAACTGGGTTCAAGTTGGTTGAAAGGATAGTTTTGTGAATTCAAGCCCTTTTTTAAAAAGGACTTAATTGAATCAACAGCATATTTCAGCCCCTCAAGTATGAAGATTTGCTGTTTTTCTTTATTTTAAATCATATGAGTGTGTCACCAAATTAGACTATATTAAAAGTATCTTGGTTCCAGCACTAGTGGGACTGAGGACCTTACTTTTAATCAATTGTTGTTAAACCATTATATGGAACTTTGACCCAGTTTACCTCACACTTCTGGTATGTGTTGTTATGTAGTTTAGCTGCAAACTACCCCGACCGTGATCACGTCTTTCATACTTATTACTGTTTCAACACCTTAACCTCAGCCTGCCTTTCATTACATCACATCGTGTGTCTTACTGAGTGTTTGTCATATCTCTCAGTGGGAGCCGGTGAAGCAGCGAACTTTGCAGCGTACGCCTTCGCTCCGGCGACCCTGGTGACCCCGCTGGGAGCGCTGAGCGTGCTCGTCAGGTAAAGATACCTCTGCAGGAAAGAAATCAGTTTCTGTGTGTTTTGAGAAATGTCTCGGGGTTAAGGAAAGATGATCAGAGGAAAGAGATGCACTGACACTGTGACGTCATTATGATGAGGAGGATGTTACTGAGTCCAGCGTAGGGAAACTACAATGTCACATAGATGGACTAAAAACATCTAGATTTGTATCCTGTTGTTTCATGCAAGCTTTATAAACATGGACATCGGTAACAAAGATATTCTTCATTGCCAAGGAATTGGTTGATCACACTCGTGTCCGGATGGATTAATCCACATGAATCCCAATTATTATGAAACTATTTAAATAAATACAACTACAAGCCTGTTAGGCCACCATTCAAACCTGTGAGGCAAGGAATTGTGGGACCCCGTTTTCTCCTTTCCTTTTGTAAAGAAAGGTCAAGTGTTTCCTAAAGGAGATGATAAAGGAAGCATTGAAGCTCCTTCCCTATCATCTAGAGCAGTGGTTCTCAACCTCGGGGGCGCCAAAGATCGCAGGGGGGCGCCCAGACCTCAGATGATTTGAGGCCAAATATCATATTTAGACTTTTTTTACATTTTTTTATTCAAGTTAGTATTATAGGCATAAAAAGACAGACATTTATAATTCTTTCTTTAATAGAAATGTTTCTTCTGCCCGTAAAGTGTCCAACCCAGGCTTTTATGGATAAGCGCATTTTTAAAACATAGTCATTGTCCATGCCGGTTTCAGTTGGATTATTTGTCACAGTTGCTCCGATCAGATCGGTCTCCTCCATTTTGTAGATTATTTACGACTTTTGAATCCACATAAACACATCGGCAAAATCCGGCTTACTTTGAGCATGTGTTTTAAACAGTTTAATCCCTTTGTGAATTGTTTCCACTTGCGCCATCCTTTAATTTCTTCATACAGCGGGAATCCAAATGAATTAATCCTGAGTCCAATAACCATCAAAGTCACTCCATAGTGCTCCTTAATTACGCTTTCATCCTCCTTTAACAAAATGCTTCACATTCATCCAGTTTGTGACAGTAGTTGTAGCATTTTGAGACTTTTAAACTTTAATTACAGCTTGTTTGCCGCCCTTCCCCCCTTGTGTGTGGGGGGGGTCGCAACTTCCAACAGGAGTCATTTGGGGGGGCTCTTGGGAAAAAAGGTTGGGAACCACTGATCTAGACCAGGGCTATTCAATGAGTTTGGAATGGGGCCGGCTGATAAATGATCCAAAGCAAGGGGCCGGGAAAAAGATGGCATATGAGCAATCCTATTAAGAGCTTCAGATACAGTAAATACTCCAACAGCATAGTGGAGTGCATATATTGTGTTTAAATCATTCAAACACATAGCCCCAAGGCCTTCATAGATCTAAAAGTTCAGAACTCAGTAGGCCTACATGTGAAGCTCATTTAACCATCAACATCATTTCATTTCATTTAGGTGAAATGATCTAATCATTCACGCAGAGATGCAATCAATGACAGGAGTTGTCACTACAGTAGCTAGTAGGTGGGTTCGAAACCCGAGCGCCCGCTGAAGTTTTCAGGCAATGTCTTCCCCCCTCTCTCAATGTAACACCCTCTCTGGAATAAAGGCACTCTGGCCCGAAAAAAGTAGATTACTTTTTAACATTATCATCAAAGGGCCAGTAAAATATCACCCCGGGGCCAGATTTGGCCCGCGGGGCCGCCAATTGAATAGCCCTGCTCTAGAGAATCCAAACCGCTCTTATCAAAGACATTTCCGGGTCCATTTCACACCTTTAGGAACTTTCCTGATAGAAAAAAGACTATGCGACCGTAACCTAAAACCATGTGTAAGTTAATTTTTTACATATTAGTAAATGGATGTGTGTCCTGTACCGAGTGTCCTGTACTGACTGTACTGTGCTTGCAGTGCGGTGCTGTCCTCCTACTTCCTGACGGAGCGGTTGAACCTCCATGGGAAGCTGGGCTGCCTCCTCAGCATCCTGGGCTCCACCACCATGGTGATCCACGCCCCGCAGGAGGAGGAGATCAGCAGCCTGGACCACATGTCCGAGAAGCTCGTCGACCCAGGTACAGACGGAACGGGCCGGAAATATTTCTGTCATCATGGCTTACTTCCTTGTAACACTTAAGAAAAGAATAAGGGAGGACATGTTGTGCTTTCTGGGGTTTTCCCTTTCCTGTAGTGTTCTATAGGTTTTAGTGCATGTGAATGGTCTGCAAAGGCTGAAGTCCCTTCGTTCGGAGTTTCTCTCCCACAGACAGGAGAGGCACAAATTATAATGCAGTGTTTCCCATACATTGATTTATTTGTGGCGGGCGGTGCGGTGCCCCCACAAATAGAATCACTGTAATGTGAACCTAAAGACGAGTACATGTGTGACCCGCTCGATCGAAATCAGTCGGAAGTCGCAACGGCTCATTTCAAATAAACGTGGATTTGCGTAAAAAATAGTTTTTCGGGGTTCAGGTGTTTTGTTTGATTTTAAATAAACAGTCTTTGCTTTCAGAATATGAAACTTATATTTCCAAAATCACACGATAAATACATGTTTGAAGCTTGTGAAGGGAAGAAGACACCTCTCACTCGCCACTGTTCCGTAGCGCCTCCCTCCGGCTGACATTATGAATGTAAGAGTATAGTAATCACAGATAACACGGCAGGGTCCGTACAGTTTGTTTTCATCTGATTTGAAATAAACAAAGTCTTAGCTTCAGAATATTAAACTTGTTTCGGCAAATTCAGATGATAAATACAACTTTGAAGCTTCGGCATAATTACAAGCGGAGAACGGAGTAACTTGACGTCACAGCGGGTGTGTTTCTCGTGAGGGTTTTCCCCGGGAAACAAATACAATACACACACACACATACACACACACGAGCTTCCCCCAGACCAGTAATCCAAACCAAAATATTTCCCTCCGTACTACTTTGATCATTTGCTCCTAACAACCAATCAGATCGATGGATTCCAGAGAAGTGATGACTCGGTGATGGTCATTATAGAATGTGACATATTTAGCTTAATAGGAGTACAACAACAATCCTGATATCATTAGAACGCTAGGAATCTCCTCTTTCCAACAGTGTATACAACTCAAATGTGTCCTCGGGTCAATGATGGAGCAGGTCACCTAGTATGTACATGTTGAATTGCCATTTCATATCAGAATAGTGCCTATTTTTGCTTGATTCAAGAACAAACTAGAACTGCTTATTATGGCATTTTATTTTTCCTTAATTAAGACAAGTGGGCCCCATATCAGATACCAGGCTAATGTATTGAGATGTTGTATTGCCCCATGCCTACAATACAATATCTCTTCTTCTTTTGCAAAAAATAAATACATTACCAGACCCCGGGGGGGGGGGGGGGGTAGGTCAGTTTTCGCTTGCTGCTTATTTATGACATAGATATCAGAAGGTTTTTTCTCAAATGTAAAAATTCAACAAATAAATATTGACATGCTGTTGTACCAAACACTACCAATGTGTTTGTGTTCTTACTCACCTTGCCACCCGTTTCCCCCCCAGCCTTTTTATCCTTTGCCATTGTGGTCATCATCGTGGCGCTCATCTTCATCTTCGTGGTGGGTCCCCGTCACGGTCAGAGCAACATCCTGGTGTACATCACCATCTGCTCGGTGATCGGCTCGCTGTCGGTGTCCTGCGTCAAAGGCCTGGGCATCGCCATCAAGGAGGCGATCGCAGGGAAGGACGTGGTGGGGAACCCTCTCGCCTGGATCCTGCTGCTGGGGCTGCTGGCCTGCGTGAGCACGCAGATCAACTACCTGAACAAGGCGCTGGACATCTTCAACACCTCGCTGGTGACGCCCATCTACTACGTGTTCTTCACTACCTCCGTGCTCTCCTGCTCCGCCATCCTCTTCAAGGAGTGGGGTCACATGGGGGCCGGGGACGTCATCGGGACCCTGAGCGGCTTCCTCACCATCATAGTGGGCATCTTCCTGCTGCACGCCTTCAAAGACGTCAGCGTCAGCCTGTCGTCGCTCGCCGTGTCCATGAGGAAGGACGAGCGCCCGGCGGCTAACGGCGTAGCGTCGCACTACGAGCTGCTGCACGAGTCCACGGGAGACATGGAGGACCGGGAGATGGGGCCTGCCGTTTGACAGCGTCTCCAGAGGAACGGGGCGATGACTTCCTCTTTAGATCACTGAGGAACTCTTCATACTGACTCAACACCAATGAGACATCGACTGTGAAGGAAGCGACTCGGGCGGACCAGCGGATTGTATTTAACGTTTTCATTTGCCTTACTTTTCTCTGAACCCTAGAACTTAATTTCATTCCTCTGTAGCGCTGTAAATAATAGAGTTTTTTTTAAGGAGAAGTTTTGTTATATGTACATGCATACTCATGCACTGACTTACTTTCTATAAATCAAAGGGATAAAATGTTTTAATATATATTCTATATGAAGTCCTGCTGACAATTAAAAAAAAGACGCTCACTATGATTTTTTTTTTCGTTCTACTTGAATGGTAACGACAGATTTCGTTGGAAGTTTCTTTTTTTACATAAAGCTCTCGAAGGTGAACCAACAGATTTGTTACATATTTATTGAATTAAAACATTGAAGGCACAGTGAATAAATGCTTAACATGAGTATGAGCGTTGTTACTTTCAATTTCCTTTAAAATATTGTGCATGCACGTTCAACAACAATATAGAATATAACACCTCCACCCTTAAAATACGTTACTCTCCACCCTTAATAACTCCACCACTGCAAACCCCCTTAAATATTATCTGATAAAACTTCATTTCACCTAAAGCTTTCTGCAAGTATAAAACAAAGAATAGTCATCCAAAAGGGGAATATCTATTCGTTTATGATAAGGCACAAGTGAATACAAAAAATAATAAATCTGACAGGAAAAAAAAGTGGCCCCTCTTCCCGACGTCTTCCTCTCTACGAAGTGACTGAGTGTGAGTTTCAGCTGCTGGCCAGAGACTGGTGAATGGGCGGCTGAAGCAGCGCACGTGCTCCACCGGCATGTTCTCTCCGTCTCCGGCCTTCAGGGGTACTTGTTCAGGATCGAAAAACACCTCGTTGTTGATGACCTGGAATCTGCGGATCCTGTCCACCATCTTCTTCAGCGGCTGAAGGAAGGCCAGATATACAGAGGGGGGGGATTCAAAACAGGGTATATGCAGGAATCCTGAAGTCAAATTTAATACTTAAGACCCTTTCCATACATTTTTAAGACCTCATCGCCACTTGGAGTTTTAAACGGTTACCTTGGCGACACACTTCACCTCACATTGACTATATACAGTATTGATTGTCCTTCCTCCTTATCTTCCAACCATTTGGACGCAGACTTGCATTTCCCCATAACGATGTTGTTTAACAACCGGCGTAAACGGACCTTCGCGCTATCAAGCAGTGAGCGTGCGATGTCCCTGTTCAGATGACGTCAAACCCAACGGGATGCCATAAATAAACTACACAGAATCCCACTACACACCTACGCCATATTGATTACATTCAGGCAGACTGTAGAATACAACCTCTTGGACCATTTATATACTTATTGAAAACAAGCTACAAAATGTAATACCTTGGGAAATGCCGGTTAATACTTTTTTGGCTAAATTGATTTATCAATTGTAATAATACCCTGAATAAGGTTCCACAATTTATCCTAATTGCAATATAGACTCGTGCAACATCCAGAATGCAGTGATAAGTATAACCATCATTGAACAAGTACAAGTACTAGTAGATAATAAAATATATATATATTTTTTTTTTTATATTGAAATATAATAATTCCATCTGCAGTCCCTGGAAGTTGGCCACAATATTATGCAAAGTATCTGAATGAAGTATTGCGGAACTGGCCTGCTAACGGTGTTCTTCTACAGACTTATAAAAAGTATTTCTTTGTAACTGGTTCCTATTAATTATATTTTTCAATGGTAATGAGAATTGGTTGAGATGGCTAATATTTTGTTGCCCGTAAAAGGGCGTCCTCATTGTTCATATCAAGATTCAAATTTATTTCAGATAAAAGTAGTGTTTTGTCTTTCTATAACTGACTACTAGAAAGAATATTGGGAAGTTTGGGATTTTATGAATATCTTTCAAAATTCACAACCATTTAAAATCCACATTTCTCCTTGTAAATATACAACTCTATTCTCAACAGGGTGTTCTCTGAATATACCCTCCCTCGACCGGCTCCCTAATAATTTTGTTCTTACTGAATACTGTCCCCTCACAGGGCATCAGAATTACCCACCATGTTACTCCATATCTCTGCCCCCCCCCCTTCACTCACCACGCTCTTGATGACCTCGTCCTTGCCGTCGTGTTTCTGCACTTTGAGCAGGTGGTAGCTGAAGTCCAGGATGTCGAAGCGTCGGTGCTGACCGAGCAGAGAGATTGATCATACAGCCGGCCCAGTGCAGCCCCGTCCCCGAAGCACTGCCTGCAGGGAGCATGGGGGGGGGGGGAGACACAGGGTTTCACAAAGAGTCTTGAAATAGATGTTCCAAAAGAATTGTCATTAAATGTCTTCAATAGGGCTACACAATGTATTGTGTATTGTAGGTGTTTGTGCTGCAATATACTATGTGTGTGGTGTGTGTGTGTGTGGTGTGTGTGTGTGTTGCACTCACTCCACGGTGAACTCGTGGGCCCCCACAGGGATGCAGTAGACAAACTGCATGGCGCTCCAGAGGCGGTGGAACTCCACACACTCGCCACGTGCATCACGCCGTGCTAGGCAGCGGGCCGCGCCAGATGGGGTCGTCCAGGAAGCCGCGCACCGAGTTAGTAGGATGACCTCGAACAGGAGAGAGACCGCAGCACAGACGCTCTTTGGTCAGCAGGTCGCCCTCACGAGCGATGGCGATTTGCTGAAAGAGAAGCGAGACGGGGGAAACACTGAAGGATAAGATTTTAACATCATCTGTCACTTGACGAGCCATAAAACAATCTTGAATCTTCAGTGAACACAATAGAGAGCTGCGGGAATTGTCCTAAAACCCTGCAATGACTCAGCATTTAGCACTTCCTGTTTTCCCTGTCGGAAGTCAATGGTTTCTGAATGTGGTTTTTGGTTTGTTATCCTGAAAATACGCTCTGTGGTTAGCTGAAGAGATGTTATCGTTTTGTCCTACGACATAAAATACGTCAGTTAATACCCCTCTGGGTGGAATTTTAAAAACGGCCGGGTTGCTAACAAGTGTCTAAAGGAGACGACTAATGTCATCACGCCCAAACATTAGCCGCCTTTAGCTTAGCGCTGGTGACGTGAAGTCATGTGACCCGTGCTGTAATTCCTTTATAGCCAACATTAGCTTTTAATTCAGAAATCATAAAGTGTGTGTTAAAATGTGGAAGATTATTCTGCTGAAACTAAACGTGTTAAGTATCATAAATGTTTGTTTGACAGAGAGATTATTCTTCTGCAATAATCCAAAATAACATTGATTCCAGGGAGATGCTGCCTTCAGGGTCCACAACAGAAAACGTCGTCCCTGCACCGCTCTATGGATGGGATGTTTAGCCTGGTTGTACCTGGGGGTCCCGAGGCGTTCGATCAGAGGGACGAGGTGCATGTGCGGCTGTATTTCTGCTCCAGGACGCTTCATCTTGGCGTCCAGACGTTCCCCTTCTGCACAGCAAGGAGAGAACACGATTTTAAGAGATTAAACTACAAGGAAAATGGCTGAATAGAAGTTTTTCTTTTTTCAATTCCCTCAAAGGGATGTGTTAATTTACCTTTGACATGGACTCGTGGCAGAATGTTCTGGAAAGGTGCCGCATGCAGCAGATCACAAACCTCCTCCTGAGACTGGGAGAACAGGAAGTCAAAACACTGAGATTTAATTATTAATATTTCAATAATAATATATAAAATTGAAATGTAAACTGTGTCACTTATTCATTCAATTACCACTTAATGTGAAGGAAATACTTATAATTAAGTCTTATGCTTTGATTTTTCGTTGCTTGAAAAAGAAATCCTTACAATGATTGATACCTTAAGTTAAGGACATTCTTTTGACTACATTCAGGCAACGGGTTTATCATTTCTACCCATTTTAATTGTATTTTTCAGGAGATTGTTGTATTATAACATACATATTTGGTGTGTCATTTTAAAGCATAAAAAGTCTCATCTTAAGTTAAAAACTTTTTCTTGCAATGTTCAACTTTATAATCTCAGAGATACTCTAAATGTGAGAATATTAGCCCCTTCCTCTGGCTCCATGATTACATGCGTACCTACAACGACCCCTCCCACGTGATCATGTGTATGTGCTGTGATGTAAACAGTAGAGAGATCCTGAGCGTACCAGGCTCTGTTCAGCTGAGCAGGCAGAACAGCATGCGTTTCCCACCTCCCTCAGGTTCTGGCACACCACCGTCTTCAGCTCGGCGTACTCCACGATGTCCTTAAGCTGGTGGTGAAGAACTCCAGGATCCCTGAGAGGAAGGAGAGGAGACATTATCAGTAAGGGAGGATGTGTGATAGGATTACAGGGTTTTCTCTGCTGGCCCTTGTCTGCAACCCTTTCATCAGTTTTAATGAAAATCAGGCTGGTAGTTGTTCTGTCATCCTGCAGACAAGAACTAACGAAACCATATTTGACTTAGCTCGAGGGTAAAAGTAAGACTGCCTACCTGGGGATCCGTACTCGTGGCGGGGGAGTCTGCAGATCTTGGGCATCACCTCCATCAGAGTCTTCACATACTGCATGATGGTGCCCTGCAGCTGTGGTGGAGAAAAGACAGGGTTTCAGCAGCATACTTCAAATAAATGCATCTGGGCTAGGTCTGCACTCTCAGAGACTTTGAATACATCTGACTAGGACAAGAAAATAGGCTTTTATTTCATTTGATTATTTTCTTTATTTTGATGTGGGCTATTATATTATTATTATTATTGGTTATTTAACACAAAATAAGTTGGACCTAATATAAGATATCCTTTTTTTTTTGCATAATTTAAAGATGACAATTTTGTATTTATTGAAGAACCGTTTCCCGTGTTTCTCCCAAATTATTTTTTTATTTAAGGAACTCAGAAAAAAGATCTTGTAAAAAAAAATATATATATTCATAGACTTGATATTAACAGATATAAAGCATGTTTCTTTGACCTGAGGATCTTTACATTACATTACATGTCACATGTTAGACGCTTTTATCCAAAGCGACTCACATACTCAATGCTGTGGGCAATCCCCACCGGAGCAGTTTGGGGTGAAGTGTGTCAGGGACACAACGACATGCTGACTGCAGTGGGGTTTGAACTTGCTATCATCTGATTCGAGGATCAGCGCACTGAGCCACACCCACCCTATCAGGAGGTTTAAACAATCATAAACATAATACAAAGAAAAGGCTTTGGCCTCGATGGAGATCAGAGAGCCCTTGAATAAACTGTGTTTGTTATTCTTCTTTTATTTAAAGCTTTATTTACACAAAATAATGTGGACTTAATATTAACAAATCACTTTGTTTTGTTCTCTGGCAAATCCTTTTTTTTTTTTTCATGCAAATGTTTTTATCTGAGGAAGCTTTTAGATCAGGAGGTTAGGGAGACTCTAAATAATCAATACATTAAAGTGCATTTATATAAGCA